GGGCTTTAATCCAAAACGAGGAAGTAAAACCTGTGTGTTTTGAAGGACGGGAAAGAGGGCGGAGAGAATTTTTGGGGGTGGGGTTTGAGGGATGAGAGGCGGGGTACCCGGGGGTATATCAGGAGAACTCAATACCCAATGGGGGGGCGCATTTGCGGGTGGGGGGAGAAGGTGGGAAGTGTGTGTATGCGTGTGTATGTGTGTGTGTGTGTCTGTATGTGTGTGTGTGGTTGGGGGGACCCGGAGGGGCCCGGGGGCCTCCGCACCGGGGGAGGAGGATCACGGAGCACACGCGTACATGTACGGAAATAAGGAATGCACAGTACGGCAGCGGCGCACGGCACGCGAACGAGATTATGAAGACAATGTTCGTGCCATCGGAGCATCACGCATATGTCGCCGTGTCTAGCATGCCTTAAACAATAACGCCGTACTGCCGTACCCGCTGAATGATAGCCGCCATGGCGCAGTACACTGGCTTAGTCATGCCGCGCATATCTAGTGGCATCAGCTTCTCCTCCTCCGTTAGGCGCCTGTGTGTACGACAGAACATATGTACAACAGGCATAAATCATTCGTCATGAATCATCTACCTGGGGAAGGTGTCAGGGGGGGACAGTTCACTCACACCACAAAACACAACACCCGTACACAGCTGGGGGGGAGTAGCAGGGCTCCCCCCCTGGCTGTGTGTGTTTTGACCCACCGACACATAACGGCAATCCACCCTTTCCCCGGGCCCCGGGGCTCCCCCCCTCCCCCTCCCCCGCTCACTCCTCGGGCGGCAGGGTAGTCAGCGGCAGCCACTGCCACCAGGCCCGCACGGCCTCCCGGAACTGGGGCTGGGAGCGAATGGCCAGACGCTTAGCAAGAGCCTCCGGAGTGTAGAGGGACGCGTCGCCCTGACACGCGTGTGTATTTGCATGTGTATGGGGGGGAAAGGTGGAGGGGAGCGGTGGGAGGGGCGTAAGGACCGGGGGGTGTACCCGGCGCGCACAATGACCGGGCCTTCGACCCCCCGTTCGTGTGCGATCGTACGATCGTACGATCGTACGATCGTGCATCAACATTCGCCGGGTGGGGAGTTGCTTCTCCGCTTCTCCGGGTCTATTTATTACCCCAAGACTTTGGTTGATCCATCTGTCTGTCTGTCTGTCTGTTAACCTGCCTACCTGTCTGTCTGTCTGTTAACCTGCCTACCTGTCTGTCTGTTTGTTTGCCTGTGAACATGTCTGTCTACCTATCTGCCTATATGTCTCTGGATTTGTCTGTCTGTCAATATGTAGTACGAATCAGTGTTACTAAGAACAGAGGCATCCTCCCAACTTCCCATGACCTCCCCTTCCAGTCAAAGTACGGACCGTACAATGAAAGGTACACCTTCACAAAGGAAGGCCGCAAAACCCACACACACACCTTCATACACATTCTTTCTCCTCGATCATACACACAACCATACACAACATACATACTCACACTTACACACATACATACACACATACATACACACGCACCTGATGTAGGTAGCTCAACGACTATTGGCGTTGGTTAAGTCGGGGAGGCGGGTAGTTGGCGGATTCGGTGAGACGGTTGGGTGGTTGGGATTGGGTTGTCGGGTTTAGCGGGGGTTAGTGCTGTACAAGAACGGACAGTTAGGAGATAAAGTGGCAGCTGTGCTGTTGACTAGACAGACATGTACACAGACAGGCATACAGACAGACATGGCCCTCTGATGCACATGGTTCCCGTACATACCCATGACGGTTCTCTCCCCGCCTCTCCCTCCACCCCTCTCCCCGCCCTCCACCACATGTAAAAGCACAAGGGACCAATCCCCGGTCCGATAGAAAACACACACACATACAGGGGCCCTAACACGCCCTAAAAACACGCCCAGACACATCTCCGAACTCATCACAGCTGCCCCGACGACGTACACTTCCCCCCCCCTTCCCCATTCCCCTCGCCCGTCGTGTAACGTCTTCCCCCAACTGCCCAATCCCCAAAACCCGCAGTCCCCGGCCCCCCAATCCCCCCCAATCCCCCCACCCCCACCCGACGCAAACCCCAACCTGCCGGGTGGCGACACGCACACGTCATTTCCCCGACAGAACACACAGAGCCTACCTCCAGTTCGCGTTCGCTTCTGACCGTTAGTTTGACGTTTAAAACGCCAACTGCCGCCAACCGAAGGGACTAAAAAGGGGCAGCGGGAAGGGAAGGGAGGCGTGAGAGAATGCGTGTGTGTGTTTTACCCACCGCTACATCACAACTGGCCGGGGAACTTGATGCTGCCATGAGGGCGATGAGTGCTATGAATGTGTGTGTGTGTATTTGTTGCATATCAATCCGAGCCTGACACTGGCCAGTGGCACCTAACCGTAAAAACCCCAACGACTGTGCCGTGGACTCTCTCGCTAGCGGCGGCGGGAGAATCGGGCCCCCCACCCCGCTAACCCCACCACAATTTTTGAGGACATCAAAACACACACACGTCATTAGACACCTCCTTGTGCTCACCGCATGACACACATGACCGTGTGAACATACGCACACATACACACATACACACTCCCAGCCGGGGCCCCCCGCCACACACACCTCTTGTGCCGCCTGCATGTATGTGTTCTTATCCCTTTCCACCAGCGCCCTAATTCTGAGGGGTTGTGGGGAGGGGGGGTTATTGCAAGGGGGGAAGGGGGGGTAGAGATGACAGCCATGTAGCAGCAGCATTAGCAGCGAAAGGAGCGGCAGTAGCAGTGGCGGTATACCGCCCCCCACTCCACTCCTAGATTGCACCGCCCTTACCGCCCCCTCACTACTCCCAGTAGGGTAGTGGGCAGGGGAATGTACGACATGTACGGCCACAAGCCCCTCCTCAGCCTTCACATCGTGTTACGGAAAGAGGGGATTTCCAGGGCGCCGTACGGCACATGTACGCAGGACGCCTCCGTTGCCGTATGGCTGGCCATTGGATTATACAGACAGACGTACAGACAGACAATACGCACTTCGTGCCCTCGGAAGCCAATACTTTTTCGACAACACACTACCAATCTCAATTTTCATACGTATCGTGTGCAACCCTGGAATCAGTGTTAGGAAATGTAAGGCAGTACGGCCCAAGATGTACGGCAATGGGGAGCTTTACTGCCACAACAAAACCCTTCCCTTCGCCGGAGCTGTCTTCAACTTCTTCCCTTTTTACATCCTTTTAAAATATCCCCTTTTTCCCACCTTTCAAATTTCGTGACCCGCTCACCCACTCACTCACTCCCCCGGACCAAGTAGGCGGGTAATGTGTTTTTCTCCCGGGGTGCCGAAGCCGATAGGCTTCGTAGGGTGTTCCTAGGGTATCGCGGAGCCGATGTGCACCCACCTGCTAACGCCATCCGTGGTGGCTTTCAGCATATTGCCAACGGCCTTCCATTTCTTCGCAACAACTTGATTTGCGACAGCTGCACCGACGCCTTGTTGGCCTGCGAGCTTGCTGTGCGCTGCCAGTCGGGCTAGTTGCGCGGTGACCTTCCATCGAGGGGCGCCGGCGGGGGCTCGCTGCCATTTGCGGCTTTCGGCAAGTCGTGCTTCGTTGTTCTCTTGTGATAGGTGGTAAGGTCGTGGCCTTGGGCGATAGATTGGAGGGGGACCGCCAAGGAAGGAGTGCCCCCGCAGCATGACATTGTCATTGCCAGCCATGCCGCCGGGCTCCTGCTTGTGAACTCCACGAATGACGAAGCCATCTTCAACTTCTCCAACTGTGGAGTTAAAGTCGGTTCCAAGGTTTTCCGAAGCCGCAGTTGAAAGACGGACCCGGTGCATCCTTAACTTCGGTGGTAAATGTGCACCTAGCCGCGCAGTTTTTCCAAGTGATTGCAGCTTAATTCCATCTTGTTAAGTTGGGTACATAAAAATGTGTGTACGCATTTATAATGTCAAAGCCTGACATAAATGGGATGTGACGACCATGTCTAGTCTAAGACTTGGGGCACAGACTCTCCTGCATTTTGACCTGTTATGTTAAATGTATCCATATATGCATAATTTCAGTCGCAGAGGCTTCCTGTTGTGGTCTACGGCAGAGAATGCAGTACCCTGGGTTGGTAACTGGAGAGCTCAATAGAGCGATCATCACCATTTAGCTTACTAGAAGCTATATCTAAAGTATAGCTTCTTTGATGCAAACAATAAAGCCACGTGTTGACGCTGACATGAAGCGATGAACCTGCCGGGTAGAAGGTCTATCGCGAGTTTTGGCAGGTGTAGGTGGGCATCTCCATTCCGCGCTAAGGGGACTGTGGAAGATCCCAACGCCTTTAAGGCCCTAGCTGAATACTTGTCTGAATACTTGGCTGAAAGGGCCCTTATGATGTTGGACTCAGGAACCAATCGGTGACAAGCCTATCAGCTCTGATCTTGTAGCGAATGCATTGATTAAAAATAAAACGCGAATGTTCTGGTATTCGTTGCGCATAGCCAATGTCGGTTTACCCTCCGCTGAGGCTCACAAATGATGTCTGAGCACGCTTGGGCCTCAATTGACAACCGTTTATGTGTGCCCATCTGGCGTGTTTAAGGTAATCCGTAGCGGTCCGGCCTATCCAGAGGAGAGGGAGGTTTCCAAGCCTATGCATGTTTAATGTGTTCCGCAGAATAACCAGATCGGCTAAGCTAAAGCTATTATTAAACGTTAAAGAAATAATTATATCACGAAGGCACGGCCCTGCAGTGCCAAGGATTTATATCTTCGCTGCTTAATAAGTACAGGGCAGACAGGGGACAACATACAGTACATTACACACATATTGCTTACAGATGCAGCGCCTTTTCCACGGTAGCAGTTAAGTTAAATTGACAGGAGCTAAGGTATATACTTGGTTGCATTGAGCCGACATGCCATCGACATGGTACACCGTGGGTTGCTTCTCCACTTCTTCTTACTGTTCACAACTGATGTCCTGACTCCTCTGGACCTTACCAAGCGACTTGTGTTAACGGATGTGCGTTCATGCGTACATGCGTCTGTGCATGTGTTCGTGCTTGCCAAAGTGCACCGCCCCGTAGGGCCCCCATAGCCGCCACTCAAAAGCTGTGATGTCGGGACCGAAGTATATAGCTTTGAACAAGCGCATGAACAGCAGATGTGTACATAAGTCGTAGGCATGCAAGTAAGTAAATTGCACAAGTATATGCACATGCGACAACACACCCTCCGGTGCCGAACGACATCGCCGTCTGAAGACGTCTTTTATCGTGGATTGATAAACGCCCCCCTCCTGCCACACAGCCCCCCCTGCTGTCCCCCGCGACCCGAAGGGCCTCCACCAAACTCCTAAACACAAAACATCAAAACCATTCGCGGTACGGCTCCACGTGGGCGGGGCTCCTCCGCGGTACGGCTCCACGCGCTCCCAGCCATTACGGCTCAGAGCAACCAAATCCCCCGGCATGTGTACATACATACCTACATACGCATATCTATATACATACATATACATACACGCATACGGAGGATCGCATACGGAGGATCGCATCTTCTGCGGCCCCCTCTCGTTGCACGTGTTGTACGGCACTCGGAGTAGGGACAGCCCCACCTCTGAAGAGCAACCGCAACACAAACATAAAACACGGGGGTGGGGGGGTGTTGGCGCAGTAGTAGGCAAGAGGACGCCGTCAACGACTCGCAACCGACAGGCAACACACTTACATACAGACACACATACACAGAAAGATGGGGAAGTCTATTCTACAGCATGCAGTTGTCCGTTACCGCTCTGAGTGCGTGAGAGTGTGAGTGTGAGAGTGTACCCAATTGCCGTCATTTTTGTGCATATCCGTGGATGGACAACAACATTTCAAGATAGACCCCCCGAATCGTCAACTGGGAAGGTAACCGTGCACCTCCTCTTCGCAGCTGGTCCGCTGATCCGACAGTCTCTGTCTGTTTGTCTGTCTGTCCGTCCGTCTGTTTGTCCATTCGCCAATTCTTATATACCGCCATCTCCTCACAAGGTCATCGAAATTACCCAATCAATATTCGGCATTGGCCGCACACCACCACCACCACTACCACCACCAGCAGCAGCACCAAAGTGCGCTCTCCCCACCCCCAACGAGCTCCTCCGCCTCCCCAGACCTCTCCCCACCCAGTCACGCACACACGCACACGCACACACACCCCAGCAGCCAATGCAGGACACACAGATGTGCACGTGCGCGCGCACACGAGTCAGGGAGTGAGGTAGTGAAGAGAGATGGAGTAAGTGATGTAAAGATGATTAAAAATATCTCCTCAGGGCACAGAACCGCTTAGTAGTGCTGCTGCAGAGGCAGCGGGCTGTGACCCAGGGGTCGGTTCGTGACGACGGCGCCAGCAACCCACGGGACCCGAACATACAGCGACCCACATCAAGTCGCAGGGCTGCAGCAGTGGCCCAGATCAGAGCCATCGACCCGCGGGTCGGGCCCAACACCGGCCACCCGTACGGTCAACTGATCCGTCAGTGACCCAGCGACCCACTGGCTCACCGGCAAGGGTGTTTTCAATTGGGGCTCATTTGGTTTGGGGCCTCCCTGCGCGTGTCCTCTTCCCCGTCCCGGCTGTGTTACCTCCCCCCTTTCCCCCTCCCCCCTTTTCCCCTTCCTCACTCCTGTGTCCCTTTTAGTGGTGCGCCGGAAGCGTGTTTCGCGTGTTGTGCACTATCGTGTGCAAAAAAAACACCAGCACGTTTTTTTGTTTTAATGAGGACCGTATGCCGTCTACCGTATGTATGTATGTTGTTGACGTTGTTCTGTCAAATGCTTTTAACCTAACACTTAGCCAGACACAAACAAACACATACACACACAGCCCACGCATTTCCCAATTCTCTCCCCATCTCCTTTCCATCTCGCCACCAGCGCTCGCTGCCTCCCCCGCCTCCCCCCCTCTCCCCCCGCTGGGTCCCCCTACCTCCAATGACCCCCCCCACTACTCATTATCCTCCCACTCCCCACACTCCTCCCACTCCCCCCCGTTTTCATTATAAAGCAACATCGCACCCAGGGTTGGCCAACACGATCAACATCTTCTTCTCCCTCACCTCCGTCGACTTCATTATTATCTCAAAAACACCTGCTCCGCCAAAGTACACATAGATATGTCTGTATGTATGTTTGTGTACACTCGAGTACGTTGCAATAACAAAACAGGACTTCCGCCACCACCACCACCACCACCACCACCATCACCATTATTATGACTATTCTGGCGAACATGGCAACATGGCAAGTTAGGCGGGATGGTGGTGAGGGTGAGGGTGAGGGTGGGGGTGGGGGTGGGGGTGGGCCGCCCGCGGCAGTGCTGGCGACTGCTGCTGTTGCGGCTGCTGCTGATGCACTCCCCCGTACGCCTGCTGGTGCTGCTGGACGCGTGCCTCGGACTGGACCTGGGCCAGCTGGGCCTTGATTTGCGCCACTACCTGTACGGCAGTAGGTCGCTTATGTGGCTCCGCCGCCCAGCACTGCTGCGCCAAGGTCCTGAGGGGAAGCAGGGGGCAGGGGGGGTGAGGAGGGGGGGAGGAGGGGGGGAGGGTGAGGAGGGGGGCAGGGGGGGTGAGGAGGGTGAGGAGGGGGGGAGGGGGGGGAGGGGTGGTGGTAAGACGAACCACTGGCGAATGGAGCAGGAGGGGGCGAAGGGGGAAACACTTCAACCCCCCCTTGGCGGAGGGGCTAAGGAAGGGGGGCTCGGGGGTGACCGCGAGGAAGGGGCATAGGCCGTACATTGACATGAGGAGGGGGTGCTCCACCTTCCCACCCCTCCCACCCTTCG